ACCATGTGGTGTACCGCGAGGGTCCCCTCTACCCTATCAACCAGCTCCGCAACGTGGCCTTGGCCCAGGCCCTCACGCCTTATGTCTTCCTCAGTGACATTGACTTTCTGCCCGCCTACTCCCTCTACGACTACCTCAGGTGGGCCTGGAGGGAGTGAGAGGACCAGTGGAGGGGTGGATATGGACAGTGACAGGCTATGGGACCCACGGCCGGTATGGCCCTGCTCCTTTTGGCCCTCTGTACGGTGGGGTTTGTGTCACGCTGTGTAGATGGCCAGAGCATAGGAGGGGCCAGGCCTGCTTCAACAGCGGCCCCAGTGTGTCCTGTGTCCCATCAGGGCGGCATCAGATAAGGCAGCCTTTGGGAATGAGTTCCCATGGCCACTGCCCATGGCAGCACTGGCTGGGCTCTGGCGGCAGAGGCCCCGCTCTTCTCTCCTGCTCACGCGTGCTGCTCCCCAGGGCCTCCATCGAGCAGCTGGGGCTGGGCAGCCGGCGCAAGGCCGCCCTGGTGGTGCCGGCATTCGAGACCCTGCACTACCGCTTCAGCTTCCCCACTTCCAAGGCGGAGCTGCTGGCCTTGCTAGACGCAGGTGCTCTCCACACCTTCAGGTAGGAGAGGCTGCTCCGCCCCGCTCTGCTCCCCACACCGGCCCCCACCACCCCCAGCCCCTGGCCTCAGCTTGGCTCCCCGTCCCATCCTGCCGCCCAGGTACCACGAGTGGCCCCGGGGTCATGCACCCACAGACTACGCCCGCTGGCGGGAGGCCGAGGCCCCATACCGTGTGCAGTGGGCAGCCGACTACGAGCCCTACGTGGTGGTGCCTCGTGACTGTCCCCGCTATGACCCCCGTTTCGTGGGCTTTGGCTGGAACAAGGTGGCCCACATCGTGGAGCTGGATGCACAGGTGAGGAGGGTGTCTTGCTGCCGCCGCCTTCGACTGAACCCCTCTAGGTCCAGGGAACTCACCACACCTGTGCATGGTGGAACACACCATCAGGCAGCACTGTTAGACGGTTCCCTTCTGTAGGACTAAAATCATCAGCCCTTTGGCCCTCGCTTTAGCTCTTAGGGGCTACGGAGTAAGCCTGATCCCCACAGGGCTGCGTCTCCCCCCAGCCCAGGCAACCTCTGTCCCTCTGCCCCACCCTGCAGGAATTCGAGCTCCTGGTGCTGCCCGAGGCCTTCACCATCCACCTGCCCCATGCTCCAAGCCTTGACATCTCCCGCTTCCGCTCCAGCCCCACCTATCGTGACTGCCTCCAGGCCCTCAAGGACGAGTTCCACCAGGACTTGTCTCGCCACTATGGGGCTGCGGCCCTCAAATACCTCCCTGCCCTGCAGCAGCCCCGAAGCCCGGCCTGAGCTTCCCAGGCATGGGCTCACGCCTGCCCCTCACCTTAGCTCCCACCTGCACTCCTGCAAACACTGGAACAACCTTGCCACCCTGCCGCCCTCCCACCATCAATGCTATTTAAATTATTTAAGGTGGAGCCCCTGTGGGGTGGGGCCTGGGGTCCTCCCCTTGCTGCTATTCTACGGCTGGGGTCTGGTTTCCCTCTGCCCCAGCCGGTTCGGGGCTGGTTCCCCCATCTTCAATTATATACTTTTTCATAATTAAAGTTTTTAAAAATTCTTTTCATGATCCTCCTGGTTTGGGGGATCCAGGGCTGGTTCTCTGAGGCATAAGGGCCTCAATGAGCAGGGGAGGTTCCGAGTCTGGCTGGCGTCCAGAAGGGCCTGCGCCCTCAAGGGCAAGAGCCTCCTCCCAGACAGCGCGAGTCGGGGAGGGCGGAGGCTGGAACTGGAGTGTTTCTCGCCCACCCTCCCCTTCCCCCAACCCAACACCATGAGGCCGAGAGACTTTATTTGGCTTTATTTAGTAAAATGTTAAAATAAATAAATACAAATTGATCAGCTGCTCTGTATCCCCCCCACCCCCTCAAAACAAAAACCAAACAAACAAAAACAAAAACTTTGAAGCACAAAACTCCAAATACAAGTTCTACCAAGACTGAAATCACAAAGGGCATGGACAAGAGACAGGATTGGGGTCTGGCTGGCTCTTCTCTGCTCAGAGCTTGCTGACCTCTGGCCTGCCCGTCCCGCCCCGCCTGACTGCAGCTCGCCCTGGGCTGAGGACCAACACCGGAGAGAGGTGAGGGGCCAAAGGCTGCTGTAGGGTGGAGTCCCCGGGAGGAAGGGCTCTGGGAGGGGGAGTGCCACGTGGAATCGTGAGCCCTGCCTTCCCTTTCCAAGAGCTGTTCATAAGAACTCCTACCCTGGCTCTCTGCATAACCCCCTGCTTGCTCCTCTTCACTCTAGTGGGAGGGCCAAAGCACTTCCCAGGAGCCACCCACTCCCTTCTTGAAGAGGAGCTGACAAGAAGACAGGCTGTAAGTCAGGGTGAGAATGGGACTCCTGCTGCCCGTCAAGGGTGCCCGGCTGAGGGGTGGGGGCGAGGTCCACGGCATTTACACAGAGCAAAATTGCCTCTACCCAACAGAAACCATAGGGGCTGGAGAAACCCAGGGCCTGGAAAGTGTACCTGGGCTACCATCCATCCTATCCCTAAGGGCCTTTTGCCCCTGGGGTAAAATTCTCCTAAATTGGCCCTTTAGATAAATAAGGAGGGCCACACTCTAGAAGGGAATGAAGGGAGGAAACCACTTAGAGCTGTGTGAGCTGGAGGGTTGGAGGGGAGAGCCTCGGGAGGCTCTGCTGGAAGTGAGCTGCAAACATGGTCACCCTGGCTGGACGAGCTGTGCACAGCCACCCCCATTCGCAGCGCCTGCTGGGCCTGAGCCAGGAAGCAGCTGGGACAGACAGGCAGCCCTGCAGGGAAACCAGGCACTCGGAGGGTGCTGGCTGGAAGCTGCCGGGCCATGTCGCATCCTCTAGAGACAGGTCCCACACAGGCCAGGCCCCACCAGGGACTGCCCCTAGCTGGGTCTCCCTGTCAGGTATAACTCACCCCGAAGGGCCTGATATGGAAGGAAGAAATCAGAATCCAGATGAGCTCAGCAGAGGTAAGACAAGACCCAGCAGGCTCCACGAAAGAAAAAGGACCTGCAGGTGGCAATTCTGGCAAGAAGCAGAGGTGGGGATGAGAGCAACATGACCTCACTGCCTCCAGGGCGCAGCGCCTGATCAGGGACTGACAAGGGGACTCCCAGTCAGGGCCCAGTGGGCAGCCACTCCCTGGTATCTGAAGTGGCTGCAAGGCCAGCTGGTCTCAGGTAAGTGGCTGTCAGAACAGCTAAATTCTGGGCCACAGGGAAAGAGCAGCGGAGGGAAGGAGGCAGGAAGGGGAGGCAGCTGTGGGGGGTGGTGGTGTCATGAGTGTGTGTCTCAGGTGGTCCCAGGCACCCAGTCTGGGGGGACAGAGTGGAGCTCTTCTGTCACGACAGTGAAGGAAAAGGAGATTGAGTGACACGGACCTTTTCTTTACAGTAAAGCAGTGTCTTGGGATTTGAGTCCAGGATGTAGGTTTGGGGGGCAGGGTTGCATCTTGTACTCCATACCAGCTGACTCACAAAACAGCTCACATCTGAGCGTGAGGAAGAATCCACGCCCCAGCTTTAGGCGAGGTCAGAGTGTAGTCGACACTGCTCAGAGCAGCAGGCAAAACAACTGGCCAACTCCTAGCCCTGTCCCCCGCCACCAGACTCCTCAGGCAGCTCCTCTCCAACCCAAGGCCTCTAGTGGTGATGGCTTCCCAGCTTCTTTCAGCAACAGACAGGCATCGTGTGGCAGCCCCTGCGGGCCCAGACAAGTCCGAGGGGAGAGCTCTGAGGCAGGGCATACAGCCTTCCGCCAACTATTCCTCCACTAGTCCAGGCATCTCCAAAGCTCCCTGACGAGACATAGCACCTTGGTTTCTGAATGAGAAAAGGGAACTCTTCTCTGGCCCCCTCAACCAGCCTAGCAGCCAGGGCCTAACTGAGATCTGTGCGGCCAAACTTAATTCCCTCTTCTGACATCCTCAGGAAGGTGATTGGAAATGGCTGATGTGGATGAGACACATTTTATTCTAAGAAGCGTCTCCTCTCTGCTGCATTTGTTTTCAGGATCTGTCTGTCTCTCTGGGCCTTACTGGGTGGAAGAGAAGCTGATGGGCCTTTTCAGCCACTCCTAGACTCTGGCCATTACAAGGCCCTGGGGCAGACTTGTGGGAGATGCTCCGGTAGGACGGGGGTGCAGAGCCTCCGCCTCCCTCCTGTCAACCCCTAGGGGCACACAATAGGCAAAGGTCTCCAACGAGAGCACGCTTCCGACACAACTTATTTCCCACAAGGCAAGAAGAGAGAAATGTTCTGAGCTTTCAGAACCCTGGTTTTCTCCAGAAGGAGAGGCCACGACAGTCCAAACCAAGGCAAGCACAGCAATTCTAGCCAGGGCTCACCCAGGAATGGGTGGGTGGAGTGTAGTAAATTCCATCTCTGGAGCCTGGAGCCAGCAGGCAGAGAAAGCAGCTGGAGCTTCAGACCTCTCTTCCAAGGCAAGACAGACAACAAGGCTACCCTGGGGCTCTCTGATGCACCCTCAAGACATCTCACTCCTCCTTTGTTCTTTCTAAGCACCAAGGGCTGATGCCCCCAGTCTGCACCCCCATACCCTCCCCGCCAAGGCCAGGGTGCAAAAGCACCACTGAGGTCCACTGGCCACTTCCCTCAGAGGTGTCCCCCAGGCACTCATAATGCTGGTGGCTGAAAGACCAAGAGCAGCACCAAAGGAAGGGATCTTATTTAGGCACCAGCCCTTTGCTCTAGCAACATCTGAGGAGACCACGGGTGGGGCCCTGATACCATCCACACTCCATTTGGGCTTCAAAAACACAGACAAGATCCCTGCACCAAGAAGAGAGGACAGTTTTTTCTGAGGAGGGGAGAGTGGTGGGGCACCTTCACGGAGGCCAGCCCACCAGTCTAGAGACACACGCGGCAACACATCATCGTGATCAGCAGGTTCTGTGCTAAAAAATTATAACTACACGGCATTTTCTCCAGTTCTGACACCTTTTTAATAGAAATCACTGTTTTTAGGAAACAAATAGCACTTTTGTAATTTTTTTTTACAATGTTTCTTACCTTGATCTTAATTTTAAGTAACACTAGGAAGACCTCAATATTGTTTATTTTCCTTTTTAATTTAAAAAAAAGTTGTTGTTGTTTTTTTTCCCCAGATACAAAGATTTTTGCCCTTGCATAAAAAAACAGTGCCCGAACGATGACACAAGGACTCACAAAGACTCACTGGACCTCACTGACACTATGATTCCTATTCTACCATGCAAGGTCTCGACTACCCTTAATTGGACTGTCAGCCTGAAAAACAGCTTTTCTATTCCTTATTTTAGTTTTTGTTACCAAGAAAGTAAAATAAACAATAAAATAAAACTTTTTTTTTTAAAGAAAAAAAGAACAAAAACAAAAATAAAAGAGAAAAGAAACGTCTCCATTCAATTCACACACACCTGGGTCGCGTGCTGCTTCGCTCAGGATCTTCTCTTCTTATAAATATAGAAAAGGGATGGAGCTTGTTTTCAAGTAAAATCACTGATCCACCTTTTTCCCTTCCTGGACACACACACCCTTCTTCCCTGCCTTGGGCACGGGCAGGGCCCGGCTCTGCTTGTTCTTAGAGAGGAGACAGGACGAGATCACCACGGATGCGATTCACCAAGCAGGGAGGGAAGGGGACTCGCGAGGCTTCAGGAGTGGTGGGGATCCCTGCGTGGGGAACGGAGCGCGTGGGGAGAACTACGGGCTGTTCTAGGCATCCGCCTCCCTTGCGCCAGCCCCCTCGGGACACTACTAAATACTGCTTGGTCGCTGCACCTTCCCATCCCACCCCTCCCAGCCACTCCCCTTCCCTCTTCTCGGCACTGGGGTCGGTTAAATCTCAATTTCCTTTTTTTGGTTTTATAGTAGTGAAAGTTTAGAAACAGGAAAGCCCACACACTCTTTGGACTCGTCTTCTCTACCTAAGCAAACGGCTCTCAAATAAGGGTCTGAAACCTGCTCTCCTCCCTCCGCCCGTCCCTGCTCCCCGCCCAAGGAAACAAAAGCAAACCCATCGTGGCTGTGGAGGCTGCTGCAGGCACACACTGGTGTATAATAGAGAGAGTAAATATATTATTTCACTTGGCATGGTGCTGGCAAAGAACCTCCAGCTGGCACTATTTCATGTAACATGGTCCAATCTTTGCATGTACACACAGAATAAGAAGGATCAATTGGCAAACTCTGGTGCCACCTGGCACAAGCATCTTCTCTCTCTCTGGAACCAAAGAACCAAAAGAATTCTGCACTTTCCAGAAGAAATCCGGCTTTGCTTTTCTAGAGTCTTCAGTGTTTTGCTCTCCTTGCCGCCGGGATCCCGTGGCTTCTCCTAGAGGGGCTCTGTTATTTAGTCTCTTCCCCCTGGTTACAGTTCGCTGTGCAGCTCTGGGAGGAGGGGGAAGGGGCCGGTGTGGAGGTGGCGGCGTTGGCAGGGGGGGTGCAGTCCGGGCCATTGGAGATGGCCCCCACAGTGGCCTCAGAGTCTACAGGTTTGGAGAGGTCGATTCCGTGGATGAGGCGAATCAGCTGTTTTACCTTCTCCAGGGAGCTGTGCATCTCCTTCTGCCGGGCCAGGATGGTGTTCTTCATTTCCATGCATTTCTGCAGCGGATGAGAAGAGCGGTGGCACTGAGCCTCCTACTTTCCTAACAGGCCTGGCAATCCCTGAGGGGAGGAGCTCCCTCTCTGTCCAGGTAAAACGACCCGCCCACTGCTGGTGTGCAGGCCCAGGCCTAGTTCTGCTCCTCAGTGGAGTGGGCTGCTACTACCCAAAGAATGGGGCAGGGGTGGGGTGGGGGAGCCAAGAGGCGACAGAGAGAGAACGCACACAACTGTGTGCGCATGAGCCCTAGCACTTAAAACCAAACTGGCATAACCACCATAATACTACAAAACAGTCATTCAAAAAAAAAAGTTCCCACAGTTACCCTGAAGCTGGTTTAGGCAGGATTTGATGTGCTTCTGTCATGCTAATGGATGACCTTTAGGAATGGACTGAGCTCTCCAGGGTAGAAAACAAACCAGTGGTATCTGGATTCAATCTGAGGGCATACTGAGGGGGGTCATTCATTCAGTCAGTAAGAATTTAGAGGCAGGGCCTGGGTGGGCCAATGCTATTTAGGAGAATCTAGGATATTCCAAGGCCAAAAGATGCAGCCTTTTACTCCGTCATGGATTTGTAGCCTTTTGCCCTCAGCTTCCCACACCTGCTGCCTTCTATTTTAGACAGGGACAGAGCCGTTAAATCTGCGCACCATGGGTAGGTATGGTGGGGAGAAGGAAGCAAGTGAGTGGGACAGCTCGACTGCCACCTGGCGTCTGTGAGGAGCCTCTGTACCCCTGCTGGAAATATAACCCTCTTTCCCACCTGGACTAGGCAGTACTTACTTCCAATACTTGTCTCTAGAAACCCTCTTCCTCACACTGGTCAGGAAAACTGGGAAATGCAATCAGCATGGTGTGGAAGAGAGGGAGCGAGGGAAGGGCCATATGCATGGACCCACTAGCTCAGGTGGCTAGAAAGAATCACACAAGGAGACCAGGTCTGTGTGTGCTTGGCATCCGGTGAGACTCTACACTCCTCCCAAACACTGTCAGGAAAATGCAGGGGTGGTGACTACACTGCTGTAGCTTTGACTTAATCTCTTCAGCCTGGAGACTGAAAATCCTCTCTCAGATTAACGACAAGAGGATGTTCCAGAGCGTGGGGAAGGCACCATATACCAACTGGCCACTGGTACCTGAGGGCTGAACTCTAACTGGAAGGCAAACTTTGCATTTGCCTAAGTTAATCATGTTAACAAACCAAAGGACCTGACCCAGCCCGTGGGTCCACATGTACAGTTGAGTACTTGGAAAGGTCTACGTCTATGTGTCTGTGTATCTACCACTGAAGGCATGAGGTTTACTTACACTTATAGAATTGCTGAGCTGTTTCACCTTTTGCTCTAGTTGTTCTCGTTCTTGTTTTAAATCTGAACTCCATTTAAGTAACTTCTGTTTCTCTTCTTCTTTTGCTGAAAAAAATAAAAAGGAACAGTTTTTAACAATTAATTGTTTTTTTTTTTTTTTTGA